TTACTGTGTCTGTTCCCCTTTCGGGCTTGAACTGATGGTAAAACTAATGACATTATTTACTGTCTTTACATTTATTTTGAAAGATGAAGCTCGCGATTATGGTAAGGGGCGTTACATTTCCGACGAGTGCTTGCAGTGTTCGGCCAATCACAATGCACTGGGTCAGCTGGCCAATCAGAGCAGACTGCGCTTGTCAAAGGAAGGGGCTTTGTTGAAAACGACGTGTTTGAGAGAGGCGGGGCATAGAGGACCTACAATAATGTACAGTATTTGAAAAATAATGTGTTTTTTGAACATTAAAGCATGTCAACATTCTGTTACACCAAATACACAAAATAATGATCTTTAAAAAAGCATCATATGACCCCTTTAAACTACTTCAGTCTGTGTGCATTGAATTTATTTAATACACGAGTTTCACAATTTGAGTTGAATTACTGAAATAAATGAACCTTTCCATGACATTCTAATTTATTGAGATGCACCTATACACACAGAAATGTAAAGGTATTCACGGCAACCCGTCAAAATAAAAGTTTGGCAGAAATATATTACTATTGTTCAGTAGAATGTACGTAATAGGCTGCTACTACTACTGCTAAAATTATTAAAACCTTATTTTTAAGGAATAATCATACAATATTTCTTCAATGTTTTAATTGTAATATTAAATTACCTTTATTTTCCAAAAAAATAAAAACTCTGGAGCACTTATTTAGGCTAATAATATCCAAAAAAGCTAAGGAATCATATGATCAGGATGTTAAAATAAACTAAAATCTCACCTTTCAGAGCAGACAGTAGCTGGGTTTTCATTACCCTTCAAATTGCGCAAATTGAAATTGCAAATTGAAAATAAGCCCAATGGAAACATGTTAATTTTGCAAAAAAACCCATATATCGCAAAAAAGGTTTTACGCTTGCATGAGGAGGTTTTTCAGGCAATTTGAAAAAGGTACACGCCATGACTTATCGCGAGAGGAAAAAAATATGTTTTAGTCGCATAACATCGGTTGAAAACGCCGTCATTTCACAATAGGTTTTTTATCGACATTTATAAAATAACGCAAACGTTTTGCACAAATCTGTAATGGAAACGCAGCTAGCGATAAGCATGTTCCAGACAGGTCCGTCACTTGTTGCGGTTTCCTTAAACATTTCCGATGTGGTCTGTGCATATTTGCAGCACGTTTCTGTATTTGGTTGTGTTGTAAGTATTTGCAGTGCATTTCTGTATTTAGTCGCGCTGAGTATTTGCAGCGAATGTACTGTCAAACTGATTAAAGGGGTCATGAACTGCATTTTTTTATTATTTTATAATGTTCTCTGAGGTTCACTTATAATGTTAGTGTGATTTTACATTAAAAAAAAACATAATTTAGAAGTAATAGGCTATTTTCTATCCTGTTTTGAGCCTCTCTGCAGAACGGTCTGTTTTTATTGGCGGGGCACATTCAAGACTCGCAAGTAAACACCCAATGCTATAATTGGCTAACAGTTTCGCTTATTAAAATAACAGATGGACGCTGCTGTGACGTAATCTGAAACCAACATGGGTAATTTGGGTTAAAAACGTATAAATACAAAGTATATATCAAACAGTCTGGAACAGACAATGTAATAGTGATAAAAGCATGTTGACTTACACTTACGTGTTGCGACCAAGTGTGCCGCACAAGCGCTGAAAAGTAAGGTTGGGTATCGTTTTTTTTTTCTTTTCTCGATAACGGTGCCAAATCGATACTTTTAAAACCGTTCCGGTGCCTAAACGGTGCCTGAACTGATACTTATTAAAAAAAAATAAATAAAAATCCCCCCAAAAATGATGGATTGGCCATTAGAATAGAAATGGAATAGAGAGTGCAAATGTTAGAGGGTCAAGTTTTTTAATTAAAAAAACAAGCAGGTAAAATTAGAAGTAGCATTAGAATAGAGAGTGCTAGAGTTAGAGGCTCAAATGAAGATATAAGAGATGTGTTTTCAGCCGTTTCTTGAAAATATTAAGGACTCAGCTGCTTGGATTGAGCTGGGCAGGTCATTCCACCAGGAGGGAACAGTTAATGTAGAAGACCATGAAAGTTTTATCATAGGTAGGATGCAAAATGTTTCAATACAAGCATTTCAGTCAAATGTAATTTATGCAATATTTCAAACCTTTAACCCACTTGGGAAAATCAACCCATGGCAACAGTTTAAAAGTAGCCCAATTCTGTGGAAAAAACGCGGACTTGGCAACCCTGCATCCAACAAGATTTGGGTTTGCTTTGACTGATCACAGGTCGAGAATAAGTAGAGATGACTGACAAGACCATGGTGGAGTATTTGCTGCTCAACAGATTCTGAGCTCATTGACAAATATCTGATCTTGTAAGATGTGCTTGCTCCCTTTACACAGAGTGCGTGTGATCACGAAATTGAAAGTGAAAGTAAACAGTGCAAACACTCATTCAAAAATATTTAAATACACCGCATCCGGAACAGTGCAAACGCTCATTCAAAAATATTTAAATACACTGCATCCTGAAAGCGGCTCCCTGATGCGCCAAAATTATACACAATATTAGAATGAATTTTAAAGGAGTGGACACGAAAATTGCGGGAGCGAAACACAATGGTCAGAGATTCAGCAGGAGTGGGAAATCCCGGCCGGACGCATTTTTGTAGGTCCAAAAAGAGGACATGTCCGGGGAAAAGAGGACGTATGGTCACCCTAATTTATTGCTAATCGATGTATTCTTTTTAAAGTA